GCCTTTCTAGCTGAATTCCTTTCTTACCAAGTACTGCAGAGTCCCAACAAAGGATGTGCATAGGCTACCCTGATCCAACTCCTTAGCATAACCAAGGTCAATGATTTTATGTATTAACTGAAACACACAAGAGAGAATAAGAACGCTAGACTGAAGTCCTGTTAAAAGCACCTCATACAGCAGAAAGAAAAGGTTCAGCTCTTCAAAGCTATACAGGAAAGGTGCCAGTGAAGAGACAGAAACAGAAACAGGAGGCTACTGTAGATTCCTAAAACCACAATGAATTTTAAGGTGTTGTAGCACACTTAGCAGTTATGCGTCTAGCTCCTTCCGATCCTTGGTCAATCAGTACAGCCTGGTTCTTTCCTTAGTAGTTGAAAGTCAAAATGTCAGGTGTTAACAGATGTCTATTACAATGTCTCATCTCAGCTGCACACAGAATATTATTCATCTGACACAGTAACCTGAGACAGGTGTTTTCCTGGGCTGAGTATTCTTGCAGAGGGACCATGTAACTGCATGAAGCACATGCATATTCCCTGTAAGCTTACTTGTCTGTGCAGGTAGAGACAACTGCTTCCTGCTTACCCTTTGCTCTCCTTGCTGCAGCACAATGTTCTCTGGTTTCAAGTCTCTGTGGATGATCCTGTTCTCATGAAGGTATCTGAGAGCAGAAGCTGAGACACAGAAAAAGCTAGTTGTAAGAGCATAAGTAACAGTACCTAGCACAAGCTCAGTAAGGATTCAGTTCTAGTAATAAGCATGGCCTTCACATCGAATCTTGTACAATCAAACATACAATAAAACAATAAGTGTAAGGGGTAAAGTCAGCATCATAGAACTCTGGACACAAACTGCATTCTCACTGGTGTTCCCTCACATCCTTCCTGTAAACTGTAGTAATGCTGGCTAGCTTCCAGTAAGCAAGGACCTCCCCAGACTCCCAACACTTTTGGTAGATGAACAAGATGATAAAACGTCAGTCTAAAATGAAGTCACTAGGGTCACTGCTGTATATTTGGAGAGTGGATTCAGGACTAAAAGGGTTTCTCCATAGCTCAGACAACTGAAGGTACTGCTACCACTTACCAATGTCAGATAACAAGATAAGAATAGCTTCTTCCTGCAAGCCACAGCAATTCTCCAGTTGATTCAGGTACTGCAAGTAAGCAACACAGAATGTAGTCTTTCCTTCCTCTATCCTGTGTGAGGCCCACAGTCCCACATATTCTCAAAGATGCAAGAAGTTTCTGAAACAGCAATTAAGTTCTCCAGAAGCACAAAACTCTATGGGCTGTGACCTGTGGTAGCAGCAATTACAGCTTCATGCCTTGGTTTAATTGCATGGGAGGATAATGGAGCAGGTGAAAGAAGTCACTGTCATCCCATTCTCACCCGTCTATTTGTTCCATCCCTTTGTCATTTCCCCTGTGTCTGACAGTATCAACTCCAATCTGAGGCCTAAGGTCTGTATTTTACCTATGGGCAGATTATAGTAAAGGTCAGAAAAGCCTCAGGATTAGAACTATCATGTGTTATTTCTTCCTATGACAAACAGGAGTTAATCACTTTCAGGAAGGGTACAGCCTGCAGATGCCCCCACCCTACAATGGTCTTGGCCAAACTCACATACTGTTGCACATCCCTTACATTTGCCCGCATTCTTTATGTGCAAACTCCTCACAGTGTCACTTGCATCCAAAAAAATACAAGTAGTTTCACAAAGAAACTTAAGTCTTCAAAAGCCAAAAGTAATATCAAGGACAAAGCCACCAACACCTGTTGAAGCCATGACTAGAATTAGGAACTATCAGGATGTCAAAGCAAAGGTTTTAAGGGAAAACTTCAGTGGAAAACTTGGGATCAGATTAGAAGCTGATCCATTCCTTGGCTACCACCCTAGGGACCTCACCTTTCGGAGGTCTCCACCTTGGCAGTACTCCATGGCCAACAATGGCAAGTCATTTGGTGCTAGCTTCTGCATCCCTTCAGGGACATCACGGGCAGCCACCACATTGGGATGGTTCAGTCTGTGGAACAAAAATTAGGCGACAGAACACATGATGTTCTGCAACTGCTATACAGTTTCATATGCTCATGGTCACCATTCAAAGTCCTACATAGTCACAAATCCTTTTAGAAACTGAATTAGTGAATTCTAAAGGTTTGCATCTTTCACGTATCTAGATTCATTCCAACTCCTGGCATTTCACATGCAAGACTGTGTTTCTTCAATGCACCTACGCACTACGGATCTGCCTAGAAGGTACAGCAACAAGCCTTGCAAAGGAGTGCAAGGCAGTCTGTTGCCACCGTCCAGAAAAGACCCAAACTACAATCAGACCGCTACACCCGAAAATGTTAATCCGACACCCCACAGGACTGCCCCAGCACAGACGTTAAGTCAGGCAAAGCAGCGGCTAGGTAGCAGAACTGTAGCGCTAAGGGCACGGCAGACGAGTCGAAGACGGCAGTGTGAGACCCAAGATTCTGACGCATCACAACGTGAAGTTTTCTTACGCGTGACTTTCCACGCACTTGCCGCCGCAGTGGAACGGGCACCTCCAGAAAGGGCAACCCTTGGCGGCCGGCGGCCGAAAGCTTCTCCCACCATTTCCCTCAGCGCATCCGTCAGATCGGCGCTCCAGGGCCGTCTCCGCCACGCGTCCCGACACAGCGCAGCGACCCCTCCGCCCGGCCCGGCCGCAAGCAGGCACCGGGCTCGGTCCGGCAGCACCGCCGCCCGGCCTCACCTCTTCATGATCTGTATTTCCAGCGCCCAGCGGTCGCGGTTGCGCGGGCTCAGCTCCTGCCGGCACTGCTTGATGGCCACCTGCTCGCCGGTTTCCTGTGGACACAGCAAGGGTTGGGCTGAGCGCGGATCCCGAGCCAGGGCACCGAGGGCCCGGCCGCGGCCTACCTTGTTGTGCCAGCGGATGACGTTACCGAAACCGCCGGTGCCGAGGCGCTCCCGCATCTCCCAGGGCCCGCAGGTCAGCGCCTGCAGCGCGGGCGGGCGGCTCATGGCGGGCCCGGCTCCGCTCCCCGGGACCTGCGCTTCCGGCTCCGGCGTGAGCGCCCGCCCGCCCTTAAAGGGGACGCGCGGCCGGGGCCGTGCCGGCGAGGGGTGCGGGAGTCGCCATCGTCGTGGCCGCGATACCGTGTGGAGTCATCGGGTCGCGATGAGAGGGGTGTACTGTACCACAGCTGTAGCTCGTGGACTGTGTCAGTAAAATTGCAGAGTTGCCGTCTTCTTCCTACAGCATCTCCAAAATTCGCCATTCCGGAACGCACGATTTGCGTTTCCCACCGCACCGCCCGAGTCAAAGCGCTATTCTGGGCATTACATCGGGTGTGGATACTTCTCCCTCCTGGGCTGGCTGGCGTGCGGTGCTTTAATGCCACGGCAAAGACGCACGACAGAACTGGGGTGGAAAGAGCACTCCAAGAGCTACAACTCCAGCCTGCGCTGGACCAGCCAAAGTCACCGGGCACAGAGGGTCCCGTCAGGGTGACATGGGCCTGCTGTGGGATGTCATGATTTTACACTTCGTTCTGCTGAAATTATCCCGAGGATCAACCTAAAGAAAAGCCAGTAGATGGTGCTTGAGAGAGCAGACACTTTTATTGCTGGCTTTCCTAAAATATGTTAAGCCCTACGAATGACATCACACTCTGTAGACAGTTATAGTTGTCCTTAAGCTGTGAAAAGCCAGGAAATAATTTTTGAAATCTCCCCCAAAGGCCATTCTTTTGTTAGCATCTTTAATCTAGAAGTCAAATGGCTGTTATCTTTAAAAAGAAAATAAATTAGCCCCTGCTTGCTCAGCAGTGTTCAGTCTCAACAACTGGAAGTCCTTTTTGAAAGCAGTCAAATGCAGCTACACTTAAATCAGATTTATGGCAGTAATGTTATCACCAGCACCATGACTCATGGAGAAATACATTTGATAATCTTGACATAGATCTCCATGCAGAGAAGAGCTAAATATGCAGAGTACCCAGTGTTTCGTCTTTACCATCATGCAAAATAACTAGTGCCGTGCTTTCCAAATGAAGATTCCATGCAACTGCTTCCTGAAAATGGAGGTCGCTCACATACTGGTTCTTACATCTTACACTAAATTCTGTCAGGAGCCTGATTGCTAGTGAATCAGTTCCATGTAGGTAGGACACATTCATTGCTGTAACAATTGCACCACTGACTGTTTTCATAACAGTGCCCTAAGATCAGCTCTAAAACTGATCATCACATTTATCTGCCACACTTTGATAACTGAATACCTCATGACCACATCCTGGTGAGTAGATCTTCATTTTCTAGTATGAGAAGTATCAGTGAACATTTAACTCTGGCACTCAACATGTTGTTCCTTATTTGTATCTGAAGCTCATTAGAAGTTTTTCTCGTTTAATTTGCAAGCTCCCCTGGCTGTTTCTTCTATGGCTCTGTTCAGGGCATGCTTTGCTCTACATGCGGGTCAGGGCCTCTCTGCCAAACATCTTAATTAGGAGTACAGCACACTTGTGCTTGAAACAGGAGTTTCTCATTATTAGGACTAAGTCTACATACAGCAGACTTCTAATTATGTTATAAATAACACAGCTATGCATTCATTCACACTCCTAGAAGCATAATGGGACAGGACAGTTCACTGTAAGGGACACATACTAGTCTGTCATTGAACAGTAAGGTGTTCAATGGGGAAAAAATGTTTTGAAGACTGAATCTGCTCTCTGACTGGAAAAGAGAAAGAACAAAACAAACTGTCTCTAAAACCCAGCAGCATGCCAGCAAGCAGCTTCCCTCCCGTCCCGCACAGGCTCCCTCCCCGACAATGCGGACGCCATCCGCCTGCCTGGACCATCCCCTAGATGCTCGGGAAGGGGTGGGATGCAGACAGCACGCCCCAAGGCCCAGGGAGTCTCCACCCCCTCGAGTGGCGCTACAGAGAGATCAGAGCAGAGACACAGGAAACACAAACACAGACTGGTCTGGAAAGAAAATCATCAAGAGAATACAGAAGAGAAAAAGCAAAAAGGTAGGCACTACTCTGCACCTGTTTCAAAAAGGGTATTTCCTGTTTTCGACATCAATGGCACTGTCATTAAATACTATTAAATATTATTATTTAATAAATCCCACTGAAGCACCATGATAGTTAACTAACTGAGCTATTGCCTTCCTGCTTTTGAAGAGATTCATAGTGTGGGTAAAGCTGCTAACTTTCCGTTGTTTCAAGAAAGATGGAACTTTCCAGGGAAAGGGCTGACAGCCTTGGGCTCTGACCGTTTAAGCAAGGACGAGTGTCCTGCACAAAGGACATTAGCAGAAGAACTTAAAGGAAGAGATATGGACAAATATCTTGATGGTAAGGTACGGAGACATAGAGAACAAGCTGCAAAAGGAGAATTTATCGAATCTTCCCTGGCGTGAAAGGTACAGTCTGGTCTTCTGGAGGAGATCAGACTATGCCTTTCACCCCAGGTTCCAAAGCATGATAATGGGGGGACACAGAGGAGGAAGAGGGTGGGTCATCTTTAGTTCTCCCTAAATATGCTTCTCCTTAAAGGTGGCCAAAACCACAGGAAATACTGAGAATGATTCCATAAACAAAGCAAGACTTTGAGTAATTAATTTCCTCCAATGTCTTCAAAGGCTATAGCATCTTATTTTTTGTTTTCTTTTGAGTTTTTTTCTCTTTCCCCCAAAAACTTGTTATATATTTAACATATATTATATAATATATATATATTATATATATATATTATATAATATATATTCAAATCTGCTATTGGTCTGCTCAGTTCAGAAAAGGGACACAGAAATGCTTTATCCAGAAGGCTTCAACTAAATCAAGATAGCTTATCATCATCAAGAAAGCTATTAGTGCTATAGATTCAGAAACAACGTATTTTGGAATGGATGCATTATGTCATTGGGAGGAAAGAGAGCTACTTTTAATTTTTGTATCTACAGATGTCACACTTACAGACATGGTTTAGTGGTGGATTTGGCAATGTTAGTTTTACAGTTGGACTCGATGATCTTAAAGGTCTTTTCCAACCTAAATGATTCTATGATTAATGACTTTTTGTTCACACATGATAAGTTAGAGGGTTTTCTTAGGTCTTATTCCACATTGGTAAGATAATGGTAACATTATTACTACTTAGAAAGGCTGTTAGTAATAATAGGTTAATATGTGGGATTTTAAATGTTCCTGCTGATGATGCTCCAGCAAAAAGAGACAAATTTAGGGTATCACATATTATGATATTAGGGCATATCACATATTAGGACATATTATGTCCTAATGTACTTGAAAGCGTAGGATCAAAATGTCAGAATATTACATCTAGGTCTTTGACTTGTTGGTGTAATATTTTTGATCAGAAAGGAAACATAGGCTGAGATCAGAAGGCACACACTGTTTATGAGACCCCTGCCATTGCTTGCAGGTTTATGCTTGGAGCCTTGTAAACATACTTTTCAAACAGCCATATGATTTCAATTTGATGGAGCTTATCATTCAAGACATTTCAATTGACTGGCCTAAGTTGTACCTTTCCCAAAATCAAAAATAAACATATGGTGACATCTGTTACCAGTTTTCCATGAACAGTGGGACAGTAGCCCTCAGAGGAAGGATAGGTATCCCACAGGGAGAAGGGGAGAAGTGGGGGAAAGGCTAGAGCATTATAAGCTAAGATAGCCTAAACAGGCTAGGATGTGGCATCTGATGCAAAACAACTTTAGAGAGACTATCTACAGCATTTTGCAGTATAAACACATGCTGTGTAAGGCTAGAACCTACTTGTACAGGTGAATATATGAGATAAACTTGATTAAGCCATGCAGGTGGCTTTTTAAATAGAGACTCCTCATGTCAGACTTCCAGGCAAAGAAAAAATAAAAAAGACATTTTTAAGTTTAAAAGATGTTTCTGGGTACTGCCTGAAAATGATCTACAGTTCCCTGGTGGTTTTATGTACCTGTCCTCCCACAAAAAAAAAAAAAAATTAAAAAAAAAATATATATATATAGGTGTGTGGGTGTGTGGGTGTGGTGTGTGTGTGGGTGTGTGTGTGTGTATATTCACTGGGGCATCTTAGCAGGTTCCTCAGAAATAAGATCTCAACAGTTCTTTACTGTGCTTCCCAGGCAGAAATTCTAACAAGGCAGCTCAACTAAGATCTAAGTAGATCTAAGTAGTTTCACTGAACAAAGCTTTCCTTGAAAGCATCTTAGCTACCAGAATCTTGTTTCTTACAGTTGTAAGAACTTCAAGCCTTCAGATAACAACAAAGATCACCAGTGATACCAATAATTAGCAAGTTAAAACACTGCCACTGTGGGATTCAGAACACAAGCCTGCATAGCTGTAATAATGAGCCACAGCACAGGGAGTAAGGATACTGTAACACAGGGTTACAGCAGAAACCAAGTGACTGGATAGTGGTTCAGATTATTCACTTCAGCTTTGGGAATGCTGCTGATTTAGTTCAGATTCAATTGAAGCTAATGTCTATTTGGAAATAACTTGTACTGCTTTTAAAAAGGCTTGTTATACAATGCAAAATGTTTCCTAAGAGGTGAAAAATGGCTTGAAAATATATAAAAAGTGTACTGTGAAATCTACAGACTAATACAAATCACTAAGAGATGCTCCAAATTATAAGGATTTTATCATCAAGATGTGACCCAAAAATAAAGCATGGAGTAATTAAGGTTCTCAGAGGATGTTCTTGTGAATCTTTTCAGTCTGACTTGAAACTTAAGTCCCCTCTTTTTGCAGCCTAATGATGAGAAATCACATCCTAAATTATCCTGCTGTACTCTTGGTTGTGCTTCAGAAACTGGACTGTTCATGCCTTTTGCTTTAAACAAATTTTAAAACACAGAAACAGAAAAAGAACCAAACCAACCAAACAAACATAAAAACCAACAAACTAAAAAACTAAAAACTAAAAACTAAACTAAAAAAAAACCCTAAAAACTAAAAAACAAAACTAAAAAACCACAGTCTTTCTCCATGTTAGCCTTGAATCCAAATTTATGACTCATATATCATACTCCAATTTCACCAGCTGTTATCCAGATGCCTTCTCTGGCTTTATATAAACAGAGTCTGAGCTCATGATTCCTGGAAGTAGCAGTTTTCTCAAATAATTGTGTTAGCTTTATACATATAACATAGATGATAAAAAGATGATAGTGTAGGCAACAGTGCCTGAATATTATTTCAAATATTTGGAACTTCAGGGTAATCCTAGAGACTGGAAATTAAATTGTATCTTCTTCCCTGTATCTTGTGCCTGCTACTCTTATCTCACTCCCAGCTCTTGGTTTGTATAGGAGGCATTATATTTTAAAAGGAAGAGAGAAAATGGTGTGGGACTTGTTCAAAGCAGGGGGGTTTCACCACATCTACAACATACCTTCACAATCTCCCACTAGGGATCAATGAATGTTCTCTTCCAAGAGTACTGATATAGGAGTCAGACTATGTAAATTGATTTTGAGAAGGTAGAAACTCTTCCTGGCGGACTGAGGAGGGCTTTGAAGTGTAAATCTGCTGAAGGGATTAGAGGGAATAATGTATAGTTGTGACTGCAAAGAAGTGACATACAGAAAGATGCTGCAACAAATAAATGAGACTATCAGAACAAAACTGCCATACTCTGCCTTTTTAGCAAAAGCATATGATAATAGTAAAAGCTAAAAGCTTAGTTGGGGAGAAGCAGTAGAAATATTGAAAATATGAGACACAGCAGTACTGTCCTCACCTATCATCAAGCAAAGTCATCTTGCCTACACATCCTCTACACAAGAGATAAGCCTTCACTCTCACCTAAAGCAGCAGTCATACAAAAAAAAATGGAAATCCTCTTAAACCACTGTTACTACAAAATGACCCTTCAGCAGACTCTGTGACTCTGCAAGAGATCTCTTAAGTAGGTGTCAGTAATATGAATCTCAGTTAGCGCATTCAAATCACCATTACACTGCATCATCAGACAAGCCCATCTTTCTAATAGTACACATGGTACTGTTGGCATCCTGCAATTTAGGGAAAAAATACTTGGAATCTATTTCTGTCTTACTCCCCAAGAAATACTCTTCAGTTTCCTCCAGACATAAAAGAGTGTGCTTCAGCTTATCAAGTTTCTAAGTTTATCAAGTAACAGCACATCTGGACCTGCACAAGTCCAGCCTGACAGTTTTCCCAGGAAGACCAGGACAGTTAGACCAGACAGCTGAGAAGCAACAGGTTGAAAATGTATAAAAAGAATTTTCATAATTTAAAACTTTCATTTAAAGTTACACCTTGAACTCCATTCACACTGTACACTTCCTTTGTTCAACTTCGTATTTTTTGTCCCTACAGATAATTTGAGATTTGGTGCTGACGTGGAATACACTCAGAATGGAAGGCAAACTCCCATGTCTTCTTGTGCTGGTGGGAGCAATTATGACTGCCCAGTGCCAGGTATGAGGCTAATTCTCTTGCCATCTTCCTGTATTTTCAGCAGCACTTCCTTACCTTACCTTACTCCAGCTGTCTGCGTCAGGCAGGAGGAGAATCTGCTTAGTTCACTAGAAATCAGAGGAAGAAAAATGTTACAAAGTAGTCTACTTCTTTTTGTGGATGTGCTATGTGTTATCCTGGCTGGTTTCCATTTAAGTAAGAAAGTCTTCTCCAGGTATTCTCAGTGTATCTGTTCACTGTTACCCTTCACTGTTATTAATGAGTTCCATTGTAACCAGCCTTTCATTTTCTGTGGTCATCATCTTCACCACTACTCTCGCTTCAAAGTGCACATCACTGCTTCCCTTGTCTCCTCACTTTAAGCCTCAGACTGCACACAGCTTGAGTAAATGTTATACAATTCTAAAACGTTTACTCCCTTTTTCAAAAAATTGCTACCCCACCCTTCCTCTTTCTTTTGACCTTCTTTCTCTTGTGGCCTAATTGAAGAACCTTTCTAAACTGGTTTCTTCCATGAAACTTTATCCAAAATATTTCATTTAATTGGCTGCAGAAGACATATCTCTTAAAGATAATCAATCTACAAACTTTTATGGGGAAACTGCATGTCAGTGAGCAAAAATAACTGCTTGTTGACTTTACCTTGGAAATTATTTGCTTGAACCTCCTTCAAGCAGCAGAAAGCTGACAAGCTTTAGTTAGCATTTGCAATGCCCCAAGAGCAGATAATGACTTAACACACAATGTGAGTACAGCACATCCCAAGTTCGTGTCACTCAGATGACAAGCAATCACCTGGTAATCCATGGCAACTATTTACAATTCTTAGGAATACATACTAAGGTACTAGAGGCACTTTTCATTGTCTGACAAGAGGGCAGACACTTCCTCAGAGCTTCCCTGATTTACATAACCTCAAAAAAAGGACTGACTCTTTGGAAGTACTTGTTTGCTCATCTTTTTTAAGAGAGCAGTTACTCACATAATTAACCTTCTTTACTCGCAGGGCTTACACGTGCGTTTCAAACGTGGAGCCAGATCTAGAGGTAAGCCAGGCCAACTACAACCGTGCATTATGAACATGGGAGGGGAAAGCAACTGATGCTGAAGAAACAGAGCCTGAAAGCTTTTTGTCATGGTTATGTGGATGAGAGATTCAGAAGGCAAAATACCAGGCCATTAATACAATCCACAACAAAGTTTTCCCTCCCTCTGCTCTTCTTGAAAAAGAAGAAAAAGAAAAAGAGGCAAGTCAATAGTGGAACAGTACATCCAGCAGCATAGCAGCAAGAGAGATGGGACAGTTGTGGTCTGAGAAGGAAGAAGGGCAACCCGTAAGACAGATGCTCCCATCACAGATACTTTTCTCCTGGAAATAGAAGGGAGTCGTTTTGCTCAGCCAGGTCTTTTCCCTGAATCTCTAAATGAGGATTTCCTTTCTCTGATTACAGCCATTTGCACAGATAATTCATCTGCAGAAATTTACCAACCCAGGGGGACCTGGCTGAGGCTTTCAGGGAGCAGAATAGAATACTGTAGGTGTGACAGTGGTCAGAGTCGCTGCCACACTGTGCCTGTCAGAGGTAAGTGTGACAAAGAAAAAAAGGAAATGGTGAGAGATTTTCCATCTAGTCATCCTAAAGAACTCCACTGTCAGGGCCAGAGTTACTTCACAGAAAATTTGTCTGGGAATAGAAGAGGATAGAAATGAAAATAGCAGTGTACACTGTCTTGGGCACTACTAAGTAGGAGTGGGCATGGAGCTGAGGAAGTCAAATAGAATATATGGAGAGAATGAAATGAAGAAATAATGGAAGAACTACACAAAAAGGCTGTAAGCACATGGCAATAGGTAGGTAGAGAAAAACAGAACAGACTAGAGGAGACTGACAGGAAAATGAGAGATGTATATACATTGCCAGCTTCTTGCTTCTGTGAAATCTAACAGTATTTCCTGGCTTTTGCTTATTCCACAGCCTGCACTAGAAATAAATGCTACAATGGGGGCCAATGTTCACAGGCATATTACTCCCCACAGCTCTTCATCTGCCAGTGCCACCAAGGTTTCTCGGGGAAGCAGTGTGAAATAGGTGAGTATACCACATCAACTACTGTGAACAATGCTATCGGTGTTAGCTGTGCAGTGCACAAGGATGAGGTACCCAGAAGCTTCTGCTGAAGGCTAAGCTCTCTAATAAGTTGTCTTTTTTTATTCTAAAGCTAATGCTTTAAGGACACCTGGGTTGTTCTAGGTGTCCCTTAATAAAACTATGAATTTTGTAACTGAAGACTGTCATATATGTTTACTGTCTGCCTGACACGCCATTTTCACTGACTTACTAGACTAGATCTGAAAACCAAGTTTAAAAAGAACAGAGAAGCAGTGAAAGAATTGGGATGTTGTTCTTACATTTTGTTCCCTTTTGTTCAGACACTGAAGTTAAATGCTACAAAGACACTGGAGTAACATATAGGGGTACCTGGAGCATGACAGAGAGTGGAACTGAATGTTTAAATTGGAATAGCAATAGCTTGGTGGACTGGATGTACAGCGGCCAAAGAGCGGATGCTGCTGAGCTGGGATTGGGCAATCACAACTATTGCAGGTGAGGGGCTGATGACTTACAGGTCAGAGCCACAGGAATCAGCCTGTTCTAAGAGCCTGGAGCAAAAGAATGGCTGCTTGTTGTAGTCTGATACCAAGCAGAAAGCACTCGGCACAGGGGAAGATACTGTGCAGCCCGTGAGCAGTAATTGCAACGTCTGTAAGACATATCTGAACTTCAGATCTTCCTAGACTGGATGTTTATGGCAGACTACATCATGCAAGTATCTCTCACCCCACAGTCTTTCCCTTGCCCCTTCTCAGTCCTCCCTAAACTCCATTTGTAATTCAGTTTCCTACAACTTCAAATCCTGATCAAAACTAAAAATACAGTGCTTCCTGTACATGACCTAAACTTCACAAGCATGCACAAACACTCCTGCTAGCTACTGGCCATCTCATCGTCACCTCAATGTACTCCACAGCTTTATAATTAAAATAGGAATTCTAGCAACTTCTGATGGTTCAGTCCACATCTTCACTGCAGAGCAGGACTGTTAGCAAATTAGATGGCCTACATGACACTACTGACAATAGCTTTATAATGATATCTATTGTAACTCTTTCAGAAACCCAGATGAGGATTCCAGACCTTGGTGCTATATCTACAAAGGGGGAAGGTACGCCTGGGAGCACTGCAGTGTGCCCTCCTGTTCAAAAGGTACATGCAGGGGACAGGGAAATTACTTTGGAATTTCCATTATTCACTGCATATATAAGGGTTCTCTTGGGCTATTTTTGTAGCCCAAAAAGGTGAGACTCTCGTGTTATATCATTTTAGAGATTTTTAGTATTTATGACACTGAGAGAATGAGACACATAGAGGTAATATATAGATGCCTTGACAGAAATCACACCTAAGAACAACTGACAGGTTAGCATCAATCATTTAATGTGCAGCTTTCTTACTGAAGTTAGGAACACCAACTGCAGATCTGGACGAGGCACAGATTACCGTGGCAGCCACAGTGTTACCAGTTCTGGAGCTACCTGTTTGAAGTGGAATTCTCAAATCCTTGTCAACAAGCTATATACTGCTTGGAGAAGAGATGCTTACCGGCTGGGTCTTGGTAGTCACAATTTCTGCAGGTATGTAGTTGGTTATAGAATTAAAAAAAAAAAAAAACTCAAACTGTTTTGTAGTACTCTTAAGGCAAGGCTCTAGTCTTTTACATGGACTAGTAAAGCACAGGAAATACACAAAATTACTGGTGGCAATGAAACTCACTCCCAATAGTATTTTTATTCCACCTGACCTATTTATGCTTCTCTAAGATTAGACTCCTCAAGTGCAAATTTCATGGGCCCTTAGGGCCCTCTGTATCTCTAGAAAAATCAAAAAGAATACACTCAGGGCATAGTCTGATACCTTTAGGTCTCTATAGATCTGATAATACAAATAGCTCTTCTCTATGCTGCAGGAATCCTGATAATGACAGCAAGCCCTGGTGCCATGTCCTGAAAGGAAATCGGCTCACATGGGAGTACTGCAATGTGCCTACTTGCTGTAAGGACACCAGCACTCCTGGTTCTTCTCTTTCTTGGAAGCATTACTGTCCTGCATGCCATCTGTATTAAAATAAGATCTGGAGAAAAAAAGCTGTATTACACTCAAGCATCTTCCACTAAAAAAAGAGCTGGAGGTAAACAAACAAACAAAAAAGAGATTTTTGGAGCTGAAAGACATTCTGTAGCTCCACTCTCACAGAAGTGCCTTTTGCTCTACCAGAAGGGAAGATTGTAGAAATGGAGGACAGGAAAGGGTTTCCTTACTGTATTTTTCAAATCAGAATACAAGTTTCCTAGGAAACAGGGATGAGTCAAATACTGAACAGTTCACGGCAGCCTGCTTCACCATGGACTGGTGACTAGCAGGCTCTTAACCCTAACTCAAAGCAAGAGTGCCTGAATAAAAATTCTATTTCTGGGTTTCATCCACAGCCACCTGTGGCTTACGGCAGCGCAGAGTACGCCAGTACAGGATTAAAGGTGGTTCCTATACAGACATTGCAGCTCACCCATGGCAAGCTGCCATCTTTGTGAAGTATCACCGCGTGCCTGGAGAGCACTTCCTCTGTGGAGGAATTCTGATCAGTTCCTGCTGGGTTTTGTCAGCTGCTCACTGTTTTGAGGAAGGGTAAGTTGAGGATTCAGTACTATCTGGGGGAAAAAAGTCTGGAAAATAGAAGCATCCAGTATAGCTTTACTGGAAGGGTAAAAGACTTGGAAAAACCCCTCTTTATCCCAGTAAAAATGCACTAAATGATGCACTAAAGATTATAGTTAATTGTGTTGAACATTACAGAGAGGCATTTAATTGGGCAAACTAACAGGATGGCATTAAGGTACCACAGGAGAGTATCAGATACCTCAAGAACAAAGTTGTCAATACACATGCAGAACCATCTGAAACTTGAGAACAGCAAGGGGCTGGCAGAGGAGCTTTGCCCTGATGGCTGTAAGCATATAGAACAAAAATGACGGCAAATAGGTCACTTTGAAGTTAAGCTGCCTGGGTAACAAAGTAGTAATAGAGCTAAAATTAAAAAAACCCCAGACCTTCCAACGGCACATCTTCAAGGGGAGGGTCCACTCTAGTTAACAGGAATAGGGACTCTCTTGTTCTTCAGCTTTAGTACAAATCAGCTGAAGATTGTGCTGGGTAGGACTTCCCGAGCAACTCCCGAGGAAAATGAACAGAAGTTTCAAGTGAAGAAGTACACTGTGCATCAGAGATTTGACTCAGAAAATTTCAACAATGATATTGGTAAGAACTTTCCTGACCTTATGATTGAAGGTCATGGTTGGCTCAAGTTTGGGATTGATGAAGTGGGGATCTTTTTTCCTTGTTCAGCTCTGTTGCAGTTGAATTCAGATGCAGAAGACTGTGCTGTTGAAACAAGCACTGTCCGTGCTGCCTGCCTCCCCATGCCAGAGCTGCAGCTGCCTGACTGGACTGAATGTGAGATCTCTGGTTATGGAAAAAATGAAGAATGTAAGTACAAGATACATGTCTACATGTCCAGAGCTTGAGTCCTCTGCCCTCAAAGAATTCAAGCCTTTAGCATCACTGAATGTGTAATGTATCATATTGGCTTATATGAGCACTACAAAATGTATGCTGAAGTAGGAGTTATTCAAAACCAAGTTTTGCTGTAAGTTATTCATCTGAGTCCTGTCAGTTGTATAGTAGAGACTTCCTTGATACTCTCCACAGTACAAAACTAAAAAAAAAAAAAGGCACAGCGAATGAGGTAGGAAAGACATAAGATTTGCAATCAGGGCCGCCAAACCTGCTGTACTCAGTACATTTAGATACTGTAATTTGGACAGAAACCCATTTCTGTCAAGGCTTGATATACCATACAGTTGCAGATTGATGCATTATTCTCAAAGAGGCGTTGGCTATAGAGATTAGCTGTGGCAGTGCAGCAGGAGCTGCCGAAGCCACCGCCTTCCCGAGAGCTTCATGTCTCCGCTGGGAAGGGATAGCTCTGAGCACCAAGCACTCACACACCGTGATGTTGTCTGAGAGTCAATGGATAAGTACGAGAGGGGGTCTTTGTATGGTGTTCCTGGGGAGTTCATTGATTTCACGCAGAAGGGAACCAGGGACAAAAAAACCCAGAACAAAGGAGGGACTAAGGTTATACACAGACAGTGAAGGGCAGAGCATCAGAACTGAGGGCCAATGGACTGAGGGCACAGGGGTAGTACAAAGGTGGAGCCAAGGGATAACAGCCAACCAGGGTCTTGGGGGTGGAGTGATGGGGAATGGGAACCAATAGGGAAAACAAAAGCAGGGAACATTCTAGAACTGGAGTGGGGAATAGGGATGACATAACTCTTGGGTGGGGACAAGGAATGATATAACTAGGATGATGTAACTGATGTAACTGGAGTACATAAAACACCAAAAGAGTGTAGAAGAACAATTCTTGAAACAGGGGTCACATCCTAGGGCATCTTACTAACAACTTTCCTCACCAGCTCCTGGGATGTAACAATTAGCAAAAAAAAAAACCCCAAAAAACAAAAAGCTGAAGAAATAAAAATAAATCCCAAATAGACATTAAAAGGCAAGTTAAATTGATTCTAAAGTGAGCTATGACAAACAGAAATAAAAGCTGCCTGAAAGTATATACAGGCACACCTATATATAAAGCAAAAAAACACCCCCCTCCCCCCCAGCTCTTATTTTACTTTCTCCCTTTTCCATTTTCATTCAATTCTCTAACTTGTAAACTTAGTAAGACAGAAACTGTTAAGCATCCATCATACAAAACCTAATCACAGTTTGGACCCGTATGGGTTTTGGAACAGACCTAAAAACACCGCATGTAAGTGTGGCATAAAGTGTTTTTGAAGTGCTTTTAAAGATTGTCCTCAACATTGCTTACAGGAAGTACAGGATAAACTCTGAGAGGGAAAAGATGCTGCAACTGTAATTCAAAACTCTACTGAATAACAACAATCCTGCCAACTTTCAGTTTTGTGCAATTGTAGCTATAAAACTGATAATAAATATATATAGATTTATATAAAATAGATATAAAACCAATATCCAAATCAACCAACCAAATCTCTTCCATTCTAACGTAAGTGTACCAGTTAGTCAGTATTATGTATGACAAAGCATCTAACTTTTGTTAGTGGAAATCTAATATTAAAAAGTTAGGATCCTGTTTCATACAGTTAAGGCATTTTCATAGACATTTCCTGTTACTTCATTTTGATTGATATAACTATGCAAAGATGACTTATCCACCCAAAAAACTCAGCAGTGTTTAATTTGGAGCCTACATAAACCTCTCTAGCATGCTGAAGAAACAATATTCTTTCTCAACTAGATTTAAGCTGTTCTGATTATCGAAGTGGAACACCCAAGATACAAAAAGACCCTTCTGCAAGGAAATTTTAGTTTAGCCAGAGCTACTTCTGTTCACTCTCCCCTAAACTATTGAAAAAAAATAAAAAAAAAAATATTTTTATATATATATATATATATACATACACAGACATATATATATATGTATTTATATTGTCATTTTCCTTCCAGTTTCTCCATTCTATTCAGAGCACCTGAAGGAAGGCCATGTCAGATTGTTCCCAGCCAGTCGGTGCACAGCACAGTATCTAGACAACCGGACAGTTACAGACAATATGTTATGTGCAGGAGATACAAGAAACCTTGATGATGCCTGCAAGGTAAACCAAATTCTGTTGTTCTTTTTTTTCTTTTCCTTGTCTCTTTTCTTTTCTCTGTACTTTGATCTAACTAAACAAAAAGCTTCAGAAAATAGTTTAAAGAAGTTATACATTTGCCTACATGGCAGTTCTAGTAGACTTTTCATGAACAGAACAGAACTGGTGGCTCCTCTTTCATTTCTCTTCCTCTACCCTTCATGGAGGGGAAGGCAGGGAACACTTAAGCAATCAAACCAGAGCAACACAGACTGAAAATCCCAAATACAGGAAATACCAAAAAACTGAACAGGAAAATCCACCCAAGCATTTCCTAGTATTTTCTGTTATGTGAGCATGCAAAACACTCAGCAGGAGGTTCTGTAGAAGGAAGGGGTTGCCCCTCTACTGAAAAGTAGAGAAAAGAAGAAGAAAGTCTAAAAGATGGCAGAGAACAAGCAGCTACATTAGGAAAAAGGAATCCCCATCTTTTCTGTTTAAACAGCTATTTAATAATTTTGCTTTACTGTTACACACAGCAGTATAAAACCCCTTGGATCTTTAGAGCTTTAATAATGGCCTTCCTCTCTTTGTTCAACATTTTACCTGCATTTCATAAATGAGCACCATACAAAGTTTGACACTTAAGTGCTACATTTTCCTGTGTCTCTCCCCATGAGAGGAGCACTGAGGGAGTCTGGAACATAGAAGTGACTTGGGTAAAAGTCACTTTAGTGCCTGCAATATGCTCTTGTTTTGTGAGCATACTGCATAGGCTATTTCTGTAAACACTAGTGCATCCCTAATGCCAATGGGGGTAGGAAAAACAATGCAAAACCAAATGAAGAGATTGTTGCTAATCTGCTACTTCTCTGTAGGGTGACTCTGGAGGACCTCTGGTCTGTATGAAGGATGATCGTATGTATCTGATTGGAATCATCAGCTGGGGAATAGGCTGTGGCCGCAAAGACATACCTGGTGTTTATACAAATGTGAATCGTTATCTTGACTGGATTCAGGACACCATGAAACTCTGAGAAAGAAAAATGAACCATTTGCAATCCTGTGACCATGCACTCACAGCTTCCTTCTGGGTGCTTTAAGCAGGCTGACAGGGCTTCCTGTTTGTCCAGATGCTTATAACTTCTAGTACAACAGGAAAGCAAACTGCAATGTATGGGAAGGGCATGTTCTCAAAATACTCTTTCCTTATTATAGGTTATTAGAAGCTAATCAAACTTTTCCCAACCATCACCAAACTTTCACCTTGCATCAAATCACATAAGTGCAATAAAAAAAAATAATTCTGGCCGAGTGAATAAACCAAGAGACAACATCTGGGCACCATGCATCTCTTTAGCAGCTGCACTGTTTTAGGAATGGGTGTGAACTGAAGGGGACATTTAATTTCCTGAAAACTTCACCTCCCTCCTTACTTTGCTGTACAATTGGAATACCTTAAGCTCTGTCCTTATACCATGTCACCTTGGTAATTTAAGCTGGTTTCAATAGAAAGAACAAAAGCTGTAGACATGGGCTACTTATTTCCAGATTAATATACTACTTGCTTCTGCAGTTTGGAACCAATTAAGTAACCAAGTTTAAGCTCAAACTCTCAGAGCAAATTCAGGATGGCACGCTTATTATGACATTTTATTCTTTCTTTTGGTTTTGCTCCTGGTAATAGAATGGGTAAAAATTTGAACAGCAGCCTGATCTGCCACAGAATCAATGCATATTTTTGACTATTAAATTTCTATGCATTATCATCAGATATGAAGCAAAAGCTCTCTCTTCTGTGCAGCAGAGCAAAACAAAGGACAAATATATTGGTAGCTAGATTTACATCCACAAGTAAAGGCCAAATCAGGTATCACAAGGCTGCCTTTGTCCTTTAACAGAAGACACGACAGGTACAACCGAGTCATCATGAACAAGAATCTCAGTAATCAGCATTACTTCCTTGCACTGCTGCTGCCACATGACACTAAATGCCACCTATGCACATCCTAAGAGTGAAGCCTCTCTGAGAGCTTCTCTTTTGTCTCATTGTTTTGTAAAGCAAAAACAGGTGTAACTACCTTTTAACAAAAGGAAAACATTGTACTGAGGGTACATAAGGAATTTAGTTTTAGCATCAATCAGTAGCTAGAAAACTAACCTGTTGTATATGGGAAATTGAACACATTGTTGAAACTCAAAATGTTTAACAGTTTTTAAGGAGCTCTCTGATAACCCCCTAGCACAACTACTCAGATAAACAATCTAAGTAGGTATAGAAGAGATTTGGTAAGATGACCATTACTTTCTCAAAGTTGTTTTGTAAATGGCAACTTTACAAATGGTGAGTTTCTGGCTACTGGCTTAGAAACTGACCTCAAAGAGATCTTCTCTAATGGCCTCGGAGGAACAGTGGTCACAGTCCAGTTAGCTTCAGCAACAAGTTTCATATTCCAGTCAGTAGAAGGAGAAAATATGTTTTTTAATGAAGAGTCACAGTTTAGGTTTTTGGTGTGGTTTTTTTTTTTTTTTGTTGCTGTTGCTAGTTTTATTTTGTTATCAACCTTGAGAAAAATACAAATTAATTTCCCTTCATTTCCCCTGGGCCCACTTCCATGAGCTCTTGTGCCTCACTGTACTGGCATTCCAAGCCTGCCAAATACCTGCAGCCTGTAGAACAGTCTAAACTATTTCACAGACTAATGCAAGTTAGAGTCCTCAGTAAGGCAACTTTTGTTTTGAAATTCAAACAGTCTACTAAATACAATATTTGAGCTCAATGTGATCTAACAGCCACCAATAGAATGTAACTGAACCACACCTGACACAATCTCTTTTAGAAAAATAGAACCTACAAAAACGTAAGCTGCAGAGAAAAGTTTTACCTCACAGTTATTACCAATTCTTGGAAAATACCATTACATTAAATATCCAAGTTGACAAAGAATGCTGGATAAGCCCTACCTGCCACATCTGCACTTGTTCATTCCTTTCATCCTGGTCTATCTTTTGAGACATCTTCTATGTAGCTGACTAAAAGAATGGCCCAGAATCAACCCCAAAGTTTTACAAATGCTTCTTTATCCTTCATTTTCTCCCTTAATCTGGGAGATTTACCAAATCCTTGTCCAATAGCTAGCATCTAGTATTCTCCAGCGTTACTTTAACTTTCATTTCTCAGAAGTTGCTGCCACCTAGCTCAGTGCATTCAACTGCCTTTTTCTGGTTTCTTTACCCATTACATCCCTCCCTAATAAAAAAAAATCCCTGAGATCGTTTCTGTCTTTACATCAACTTTTCCACTTACACAGTTTTTATCCCTACTTGTCCTCTTCTAGCACACAGTAGCACCATCTTGAGACAAGGTCTAAGAATAACAACTGCCATCTGTCTGCTTGCTTTCCTCTGACTTTGCAGCTGATATAATGTCATACTCAAGTTGTTTCAGAACCCCAATCAACATCAGCATCTTTTGTAACTGAAGTACACAGCTACACCTCATATTTACCCCCAGAAGTCCTTCTTATGTCCAATTTGTGTCATTGATGTTCCCCATTTCCCCTTTCTGCCCTGCTTCATCTTTCATAGGAACTTGCAACCATCTCAGACTGGTATGTCATAAGGGCCTGATGTCCTTATATGTATAAGAAATCTTCCAGTATCTCGAGTAACATGAATCACTTCAGCAGTAAATAAAAGACCCTTTAAAAAATCAAAGCTACAAAGCCAAAAAGCAGTATCGATATTTGAGGAGCAGGAAGGTGATGAGGTATTTGTCTTCATGATCAAAGCACTGCCCTTAGCATGCTACCCAACCCAGTAAACAAAAATGGTTCAGCTGCATTCCTAAGGGTGTTTCCACTTGAGGTTCTAGGAAATGCTCAGCACTTCTTTTGGGAAACACTAAGAAAAATTACCAAGAAAGCAATTAATTTTAGTTTATCAGACAGCAACTTAGTCCCAGGTTTACAATGCCAACTGCATAAAGACATTTATCTCCCTACGGCACCCATTATACACAATCCAATTGGCATAATTTACCTTCCTCCTCAAATAGCAACTTTATTTCAACTTGTAAAACCACTCTGAAATGACACAGATGACATGTAAAATTTAATTTTATTGATGCTCTTGTTGAAGGTTTTGTTTGCACTGAACATGCTTAGCAGTAATGTCACCTCAGCAGAATGCCACCTGCTATGGAATTCTTCAGCTGCACCGGAACTTGCAATCCAAGCAAGATGCCACTCATCCACTGCAAGCATCCACCACATGCAAGGCGGATCGAATGCCACCCTTTGTCTAGAGTCACCTTGTTCTGTTCACAAAGCATGAACTGTACATGCTGGACTCCACAGCCTTACGTGTGTGGTCACGTGTACAGCAGATTAGGTGCAAGTTCTGCTACCAAGAGAAAACACATTGGCATGTAGTGGCCAAAGAGCCTGTTACAGACAATATGAACAGTGCAGGTGACTCTCATTTCCTATTTTTGCTGTACAGACGGATGTACTACAGGATAGAATGGGCAGATATAACAACAGTTTTTGAGGAAGAGATGATCCCAGTGAAAAATCTGGTGTAGGTTTGAATCATCTGCACAGCACCTGACTGGTACAGGAACTGAAATGAGGTAGGACAGGAGGAACACTAAAATAGTACCAGGTCACAATTATCTCAAAGAAAGACATCAATGAGCAGGAAAACAGTAGTATCACCTTCATTTGCAATAGGCAAGGAGAGGCAAAAAGAGGTTCCAACAAGTTACTAGGACAGTGGTTATCTTCACGTAGCCACAGCTTCTAATTCCATCAGTGCTCTCTCCACCAAAGTTTCTCTGTCTGTCTCTTCTGATTCCCCAAATAACCTAGGACAATTTCTACCTTCAAACACTGATGAATAAGAGAAGCAGAATTACATGGAGATACCACTGCCCATCAGTTACAAGATCTGAATGTATTTTAAGTCTGTATTCAGACTCAAGACCCTTGATGACCAGGATGTCTTATGAAATATCTAGAGAAACAATGTACTTCCTCCCTTTGTGGCAACATTCCCAATCTCAGGCTTCTCAACTTCCCATCCTGGGTGGAACAATCTACCCTTCCACTTCTTCCAGACCTTTTGAAGCAGAACAGCTAGATATTCTCCCTGCTGGAAAGAACTACACAGTTCTTCACAACTACATAGATGTTTTCTACCCTAACAGCCAGTGATCCAAGAAGGCAGCTGCTGGATCGTCATACTGAAGTTTGTGGAAATTCAACTTAGTACATCTAAAAAGGGATAAAAAACAAACAAAATACATGAAGAGGAGCTACAAAAGGCCATAAATCCCTAGAATTTCCTCTAAGACAGCAAAATGATGGTGATACAAGCTTATATAGCTGACTCACTAATCATAAGGGACCTGAGCAACTCTCCCATCTGCTATTGTTCCAAATACTTCAGACTCAGGTAGAGATGAGGTGGTATCAGGTCAACCTTACTTTTCCCTGTTTTCCAGCACTCTGAGCACTGGCTCTCCTGTTTATGCTACTACAGACAAGGAAGCAACCCTAAACAGATGGATGGGATCCATCAGCCAAGGGACAGGGGAAACAGGAAAAGTGCTCTTCCTCGCTACCAGGAGCCTCTAGGTTCGGACTTGGAACTTGCCAGCCTTAGTCATGTATTTTATCCCCTTGAATGGCTTGTACTTCTCCCCATACATGTCCAGGCGATTCACCTTCAGTCCTAGAGGCAAACAAACACAGCATAAGACTGACTGCTGCCACAAACAAAGCTAACAGGCCTTTGGCATAAAGGGACAGAAGATCATACTAGTGGTGCAGAAAGCACAGGGAAAGTTTTAGCAAGCAGCAGACAGAACTGAGAAAAGCTGACAACTGCTAATTGTTAGAATCATTCTTTACAAACACATCCATACCCTAAATTTCTTCATAGGTCTGTAAGCACAAAATGTAAGGAAATGCAGGTAAATTGTTTCACAGACCACCAGCAAGAACAAATCCATAGATATGTAGTCAAAGCAGACAACTTTTTCCTTGAAGAAGGTGTTTCTGGTAGAATGTACTTCAGAGCATGAAGGTTTGTGAAGTTACTTCAGCTACATACAGAATGAGCACTGGCACAGCAGAGAACATTCCACTTCTTTACCTCAAAGTCACTTACCAGATATAGCCAGCTGCTGAATTTTAAACTGCAGGTTAATGGTGGGATTTTCATCTGGTTTCGATGTCCCAGCTTGCAGGCTCACGCTCCCTTTCAGACTTGGCAGTTTCTGGGGGTTTATCTTCCCAACATCCCATGACAGTAACTTTAAGGAGCAGAAAATGCACCAGTGAAACTCAAATGCTGCACCCTCTAAAGAAGTGTCCCCTTCCAATGACAGCTGTTAATATTTCTCTATGAAAAATGTCTTTTTCTTAGTATCTTACCTTTCATATTGGCCAGACACCAGATTAAGGAGCAGACACCTCAGAACCTTTGT